CCCTGTGTCAATTCACTTACCTTTGCTCCGCGCGTTCCTCTCGCCGTGTTCCCGTAGCATGAAAATCTGTCTCCTATGAGGATCTGTCCCCCTCGACGTATCTGCGCATGTGCCAGTTTCAGGCATTAGCAGCCGATCGGCGATCTCCGGCACATGCGCAGATACGTCGAGGGGGACAGATCCTCATAGGAGACAGATTTTCATGCTACACCGGTCTTCAGGGCGGACTGTGAGAGGAGCCTAGCGGGAGCCTAGCTCCGCGGGCCGGATTAAAAGGTCCGCCGGGACGTAGTTTGCCCATTGCTGCCCTATTGCCTGTCACCTGGTGGGCAGTGTGCTCCGGAGCCGCAGCCAAGGTGAAAAAGAGCCGCATGCGGCTCTGGAGCCGCGGGTTGCCGACACCCGGTCTAACTGAATACCAATAATGGAAGTTCCTCTTAGTTCAAGGAGCTCTGCTTACTCTTTGAAGCAGTTTATGAGTGAGGTTTAGAAGGTTTAGGTCCTTGACTGGTTGCACCACAGTTTCCAATGGAGAGAATAATGTCAAATCACAGGTTCTGTTTGACGTCCTGATGTGGCGAATCAATGCATGAAACTTCTGCAATCATTGTAGGAGAAAGTTACATTCTGGATTAATAATATCATACGATACAGGAGGAAATGGTGTGAAAAACAGACCACATACATGGCACGTGGTAGAATAGTCCAGCAGTACAGGAAAGAGATGAATCAAGTCTCACTCCTGCGGCTGGCTTTGATATAGCAGCATCCCATGCAGAGATTGTTCTTGTGCCTGTTGGAGGCCCTGAGAGGAAGAAGTCCTCTCCCTGAGTGACAGAGATGACAACTATTTGTATCAAGCTGACTTGTTGAGGAACAGGACTAGCAGGGGAGCTTGTTCATAATATCCTTCCTGAGGAATATGGAATAGCAATGTACAGATAGACGAAGTATCTGATGGAGGAACATCGTGCGGCTAATAAACTTTCGGCACAGTAAAGCTTAACATTCTATTTTAAACCACAGGTTTGGAAAATGTTTCTTTTGATGCAAGCCAGAAGTATACACTGCAATCTTCCCTTTCAAGCTCTTCTCTTTAAAATGATGTGTTGCTGGTAACTCAAAAGCACAGGATTAACTGGAAATGCTTGGGCCTCTGGAAAAATAATTACTGGGCCTTGTGTACCTCCCCCCCCAAACAGGTGCAACCTTTAATATTCCACAATGACTGCTACACTTTATAAAGCAACATTACATTCCCTAGCACCCCATTCAAAGTAAATGTAAACTCAATTACTGATCTCTTACAGAAGCTTTACCATGACAATCAAAATGCAAAAGCTATTTTCAAAATGTTTTAAACTGCAACTTTAATTAAAATGGTACCAGTGATTCTACCATGAAGGCCATTAACTGTTATAGGGTGACAACACTCTGTCCTCGTCTTCTGAAAGCCCTACTGTGTTGTCACCTTGTAACACAGGCTTCTGACTATAAGTGAATATTACAACACATTGGGGGAGATTTACTAATTCAGAATCTGGTACAGCTGTGCATGGTAGCCAATCAGCTTCTAATCTCAACGTTTTCAATTAAAGAGATAATAAAGGTTCAGTTTTTTTTTTAAACTAACAAACATGTCTATACTTACCTGCTCTGTAGTGGTTGTGCACAGAGCAGCCCAGATCCACCTCTTCTCGGGTCCCCTGCTGGTGCTCCTTGCCCCTCCCTCCTGTTAGGTGACCTGGTAGCAAGCAACTTGATATGGGGGGGGGGGGGGCACCCGAGTTGTTGCTCTGTGTGTCCATTTAAAAACACGGAGCTGTAGCGTCTGTCCCCTTATTGGCTCAATGGCTGTCATAGATAGCCAATGAGGAGGCAGAGACCTGGGACAGTTCTTGTGCACAATGCTGGATTGCGATGGGGTTCAGGTAAGTATTAGGAGGGCTGAGGGCACTGCTGCAAACAGAAGGTTTTTTACCTTCATGCATAGAATACATGAAGGTAAAAAACCTTGAGTCTTTACAACCACTTAAAGCTTTGAAAGCCTGAAAACCAGGAAGCTGATTGGTTTCTTTGCAGAGCTGCACCAGTTTTTGCACCATGCAATTTTTTAGTAAATAACCCCTATTGCACAGACCTGGGCCACCGTTGTCACAATCAGAAAACCTGCCTTGAGGTATGACATGCAGCCACCATTGAAATGCATGTAGACAGGAAGTGTCTGCATATGATCCGTAGCACTGAGATGAAAAAAAGGATGGAAAACCGTAAAAACTGCATTTTATTAAAAAAAAAAAATAGCAACAATTTGTGATACACAGTGATTTAGCAAAGGCGATGTCATTCAGTCTACATTTGCCTAAAACTGTCCTCCTGAGAAAGAGTAGGCAATGCACAGAGAGAAACCTACTATCTGATGAAAGGAGAGAAGAACACAAACTAAGAGAAAAAAAGAAGAAAAAGACACAAACTAAGAGAAGAAAGGAGAGAAGGACACAAACTAAGAGAAGAAAGGAGAGAAGGACACAAACCAAGAGAAGAAAGGAGAAAAGGACACAAGGCAAGAGAAGAAAGGAGAGAAGGACACAAACCAAGAGAAGAAAGAAGAGAAGGACAAAAACTAAGAGAAGAAAGGAGAGAAGGACACAAACTAAGAGAAGAAAGGAGAGAAGGACACAAACTAATAGAATAAAGGAGAGAAGGACACAAACTAAGAGAAGAAAGGAGAGAAGGACACAAACTAATAGAAGAAAGGAGAGAAGGACACAAACTAAGAGAAGAAAGGAGAGAAGGACACAAACTAAGAGAAGAAAGGAGAGAAGGACACAAACCAAGAGAAAAAGGAGAGAAGGACACAAACTAAGAGAAGAAAGGAGAGAAGGACACAAACCAAGAGAAGAAAGGAGAGAAGGACACAAACCAAGAGAAGAAAGGAGAGAAGGACACAAACCAAGAGAAGATAGGGGAGAAGGACACAAACCAAGAGAAGAAAGGAGAGAAGGACACAAACTAAGAGAAGGACACAAGGCAAGAGAAAGAAAGGAGAGAAGGACACAAACTAAGAGAAGGACACAAGGCAAGAGAAGAAAGGAGAGAAGGACACAAGACAAGAGAAGAAAGGAGAGAAGGACACAAGGCAAGAGAAGAAAGGAGTGAAGGACACGAACCAAGAGAAGAAAGGAGAGAAGGACACGAACCAAGAGAAGAAAGGAGAGAAGGACACAAGGCAAGAGAAGAAAGGAGAGAAGGACACAAGGCAAGAGAAGAAAGAAGAGAAGGACACAAGGCAAGAGAAGAAAGGAGAGAAGGACACAAGGCAAGAGAAGAAAGGAGAGAAGGACACAAACCAAGAGAAGAAAGGAGAGAAGGACACAAACTAAGAGAAGAAAGGAGAGAAGGACACAAGGCAAGAGAAGAAAGGAGAGAAGGACACAAACCAAGAGAAGTAAGGAGAGAAGGACACAAACCAAGAGAAGAAAGGAGAGAAGGACACAAACTAAGAGAAGAAAGGAGAGAAGGAAACAAACCAAGAGAAGAAAGGAGAGAAGGAAACAAACCAAGAGAAGAAAGGAGAGAAGGACACAAACCAAGAGAAGAAAGAGAGTGTAAACTATTTGTTTGAAATGTTATGAAAGTAAGCCTAGGCAAAACATTTTAGGAGAGCTAGAAGCTCTGTCAGTTTTTACTGCTTGCTGTGCCCCCAGTCTTATGACTTTTACCACCTAGAACAGAAAGTGCTGTGTCCCTGGTATCCACAAGATAGGGAGAACCTTGTCTAATGGTGTCTCTTCGCACAGGATCCGAAGCGTACGCTCTGGTAGATAGGTTTACTTTAAGAAATATATCTATCAAAAAATAAAATAGAGAGCAATCTCACACCATAACGTGAGAAAAGAGTGACAGGCAGATATGTGGGACATGAAACCTGACATACGGTACATGAATAAAATAACTCTTTTCTCCGGTTATTGCGCGCAATAACTCACTAAACTGCTCTACAACATCAAAGGGTGAGAAAATACCTTGATATACTGTTGACAAGCGATGTTTTGCACAAATGTCTCTCTTTGGGTCAATTAAGTGCACGGAGTGATGTATTGTGTGAAATTCAATTCCCACTCACTGCAGAGTTGGCTATACGGTCTAATTATGAGAAATAGTGGCGCGGACTGCCTGCCTGATCTCTATGGTGCTCATTACAATGACTGGCGGTTAATGGTCAATTGCAGATGATGTGATAGTCTGCAAAAACAATCGCACCTACAGGCAGAGTATAAGAAAATGGACACAAAGGGGCTCTGTAGTCAAATAAATAGAACATCTGAGCAGACATAAAACACAGACAGCTAATGCGTCCAAATACAAAAAAGGTATCAGTGACCAGTAATAATGTGACAAATATTACCAAAGCTATAATCAGGGAATGTGTCATATGGAATATTTCTGGTCCTTTTGGATTTAAGAAATCACATAACCTGATTGGCAGCATATGCTGGGATTATCTGTTTCACTTATCCAGATCATGATGTAGTTAAAGTGTTACTAAACCCACAACCGTACAATCTGTCTGTATATGCAGTAAAGCATGCTTGCTATACTCACTGTGGAACCTAAGGGGTTAATCCTCTGCATTGTGTAAAGAGGATGTTTGATCCTGTCTTCTCTGATCCTCCCATTCTACTGTCCCCAATCCATCTGCTGATAGTACAGAGCTCTAGGAGCCACTCTGCACTCAGTTTAGTGTGTAATGCTAGAGTTTTTTTTTCTTGGGAGAGTGCATGTGATCAGCATAGGGCCAATCAGCACTGTCCAGGGGGCATGCAGCCTCATAGGACAATCAGGCGAGAATGAAAACTCTTCCTACAAGCTTTAACTAGTGCTTAGCTGGACAACTGATAGAAGTCACAAAACTGCTATATACTGCTGATGAGAAAAGTTATTTAGCAGTTTATACTTCCTAAAATAATTGCATTTCCATGTTGTGTGTACTGTGGGAGACCAGATATAGTGAATACAGGGTCCGGGGAGACCGGATATAGTGAATGCAGGGTCCGGGGAGACCAGATATAGTGAATGCAGGGTCCTGGGAGAGCAGATATAGTGAATGCAGGGTACGGGGAGACCAGATATAGCGAATGCGGGGTCCAGGGAGACTGGATATAGTGAATGCAGGGTCCAGGGAGAGCAGATATAGTGAATGCAGGGTCCGGGGAGACTGGATATAGTGAATGCAGGGTCCAGGGAACAAGATATAGTGAATGCAGGGTCCGGGGAGACTGGATATAGTGAATGCAGGGTCCAGGGAACAAGATATAGTGAATGCAGGGTCCGGGGAGAGCAGATATAGTGAATGCAGGGTCCAGGGAAACCAGATATAGTGAATGCAGGGTCGGGAAGAGCAGATATAGTGAATGCAGGGTCCGGGGAGAGCAGATATAGTGAATGCAGGGTCCGGGGAGAGCAGATGTAGTGAATGCAGATTCCGGGGAGACTGGATATAGTGAATGCAGGGTCCAGGGAAACCAGATATAGTGAATGCAGGGTCCGGGGAGAGCAGATATAGTGAATGCAGGGTCCAGGGAAACCAGATATAGTGAATGCAGGGTCCGGGGAGAGCAGATATAGTGAATGCAGGGTCCGGGGAGAGCGGATATAGTGAATGCAGGGTCCGGGGAGAGTGGATATAGTGAATGCAGGGTCCGGGGAGAGTGGATATAGTGAATGCAGGGTCCTGGGAGACTGGATATAGTGAATGCAGGGTTCAGGGAGACTGGATATAGTGAATGCAGGTTCCGGGGACAGCAGATATAGTGAATGCAGGGTCCAGGGAGACTGGATATAGTGAATGCAGGGTCCGGGGAGACTGGATATAGCGAATGCAGGGTCCTAGGTTTAGTAATAGTAGCTAGTCACGTTCAGGACCCTTTCACATGGACAGAATCCGCTTGCTCAGCAGGGGATCTATCCGCTGAACCTTGGATGAGTAGAGTGGAATGGCAGTATGACAGGACACAGACACAGACTCTACCACAGGGGTCTCCAAACTGCGGAACGAGGGCTGGATGTGCCCCTTTGCTGCCCTTTATCCAGCCCTTGGGGCAATATTCCTCCCACTGAGACCAACACTGGGGCAGTACTTCTTCCCATGAAACCAATGATGGTGTATTATTTTTCCCACTAATACCAATGGCGTGGCACTACTCCTCCTCCTACTGACCAACAACCCTGAGGCCACGTTTATTCTCACTGATGTTGGGGCCAGGATATTTTCTATCCTCACTGGCCCTAACTCGGCCCTCCTAAAGTCGGAAGGACAGTGTACTGGCCCTTTGTTTGAAAAGTTTGGAGGGACCCCTTCTCTACCCGTTCTACTCTATAAGCAGACGGATATAAACGTTTACACCTGACTGCCCTCCTATCCACCTAGACAGAAGGGAACAAATCCCCTTCCATTTGTTTTTAGTGGATTGGACTGGAGGTAGGACACAAGTCCGTTTACATCCGCCGCTCCATAGAGGAGATTGGATGATCTAATTGGGTAGGTACCATAAATGGACAGGCGGACCAAACTGGACCGATTGTGTGAAAGGGGCCTTACCCAAGTAATTGACTTGTTTTGGCATTTTGAAGATGTTTTGCTACTAATCTAAGTAGCTGCATAAACCTTAAAATGTCACTAGGATGAAAACTTAAACATAACTGCTCCCTGTAAAACATCATTACTTACCTGTCCCACTGCCCATCTTCAAGAGCTACCTTTGCATGCTGTGGTTCCATCTTTCAGTTCTTACGTCACTATAGGACTCTATGGTGGCATAAAGGATGGAGGACTGAACCAAAGTGGGGGATCAGGCATTCAGCGTTATGCGATACTGAAGATTCCTCAGCCAATGTAGCTCTTCAGCTCTGCTGATAACAGGAGAGAGCAGAGAGGTGATGATCTTAGTCTTCTGCTTCCACTTCACTGTCCAATCACAGGCTGGGAGCAAGAAAAAGACCTAGCTTTTATACATAGTTAGAGTCAAGAAAAGCCGGGTCTCCAGGCTGGCTATGCTGTCTCACAGGGATCTCTAAATCTTAGGTATGCTTGGACTGAAATACTAATCCTTAGGCAGGTAAATCAGCTACCATATATGAAGTTCATTAGTGTAGTTTACTGTTTTCCTGGAATTCAGCTTTAAAATTACTACAAAATGTAGCAAATAAAAAATATATAGCATATACAACTGCTACACAAGCCATGCTGTAACTGAATGTTATTAAAAATGACAGCTCCTTTTCAAACTGCAGCTGCTTTAATTTTCTGTACTATGGTAACCACTGGTGTATAGATGGCCCCCAGAAATGTCATTTTCTGATCACGGATTTTCCCAAAAGTCTGCACAAGTCAGATTTTAGGAACGAACTGCAACAGGAATCAAAGTTGTGGTGAGATACTCCCTAAGGCAGGGGTCTCCAAACTTTCTAAGCAAAGGGTCAGTTTACTGTTCTTCAGACTTTAGGGGGGCCGGACTGGGGCCAAAGTAATGCACCATCAGTGGTTTGAATGGAAGAAATAATACCCCATTGTTGGTATCAATGGGAAGAATAGTGCCCGATCGATGCTGTCAGTGGAAGAAATAGTGCCCCATAGATGGTGTCAGTAGGAGGAATGGTGCCCCATAGATGGGGTCAGTTGGTGGAATAGTGCCCCAAGGGCCATGTAAAGGCAAGCCAATGGCCACATCCAGTCTCTGGGCCATAGTTTGGAGACTACTGCCCTAAGGGTTAAATACTTCTTACTTCTAACATTCCATCTTTATAAAGTTCCATCACCTTGTTACGCAGGACTTTTGACAGTCCTTTTCTGATCCCCATGGCTCAATATCTAGCTTAGTCATTGCTTCTACGTAAGAGCTAACAAACTCATTGACTATCTATACACTGACACTAATTGCAATTTAAAAAGCCACAGATGTGGGACATTAACCTCAAATTAGCATTTTAACCTGTGTGTCACCTTGTGTGTCTGTACCAAGGCCAAACATTCCAGGGGGCGGAGACTTCTGATCATGGCCATTTGGCTGATCTCTGTTATTATGATTTAAAAAGGAGCCAAACAACTATTTGATAATAAATGGCTTCATGTGATCCTCATCCTTCATTAAAAGAACATTTTTTTGGCATGATCAGTCATATTTTCAATATTGATGCCAAAATTTCACAATTACTGCCACGGTATGCAAACTTTTGAGCACAACTGTATATATATATATATATATATATATATATATATATATATATATATATATATATATAGAACAAACACACACAAATGCTTTGTCTTCCATTTCTGTTTTAAACTGAATGGGTTGTTTTACAAGGTGAGGGTTCACTTTAGGGAAATAAACCTTTAGAACAACTTTAAATTCAGATAGTATGATACAGCCTAAGACATCCATGTGGACGTGAAATCTGCGAATCGTGGAGATGTGATATTGCTATGCAGTAGTGGGGCCCCTCATTGCTTTATACAGGGACATCACAAGCTATACTTTAATCAAAGGTGTGTGGACAGAAATACAAATGTCTCGGCTCTGTCCCAAATGTGACAGTACACTTACTGTAGAGTGGTCAGGTGATTTGTCATGTTAAATGGCACTCAGTAGAAGAAGGTCCCAGCAGAGGAAATGTACATGCTCAGCAGATGCTTTAAATGCCATCGGAGCAAACGCAGCACCTTTAGCAGATCGTGAGAGAGGATAGATACCCGGGACATCTTCACCTGGAGGCTGTAATGAAATCCTCAGAGACCTCCTCTTGTGCTCACCGTAACAAGTGGCTAATTAACAGTGGCGACTGTCAGCGCGATCATTCAGCGTACACCTTCTCTATATTCTCATATGTCCGGGGGGCTGATCACACACACCTCTTATGTAGAGGAAGAAGGAAATCAGCCTTTTCTCTACATTAAGTGTAGTCAGCAGGAGCAATGGAGAATTGATAACACTGCTCCATCCCACCTATTTAATACAGATGAAACTCTTTGCTTCAATTTAAAGCTGTATTTTCATTTTTTTTAAATCAGCGGTAATTAATGAGATATTATGATATGACTCCTTCCAACCGGCTATTCATGAGGTCACATGATCCATTACAAGAGGTACTTAATGAAAAATCACATGTCCCCATTGCAGGAGAGACCCGCATAATGCATTCTGATATTTCATCCAACTGTATCAGCCTGGAAGTTGATGACGGGATACTGATAGTAGTTGGCCTGTCATGGCACTGTCATAGGTGTGTGAACAGCGACTGTGATATCAGCGAGGTGTGTGGTGCACTTTAGGAAGCATCTGGTTCCATCTCATGGTGTATATAGTGAGGCTCTACTGTTGGCATTGTGTTTTGGTGACCCCATTTAATACTGCAAACAAACAAAGGATTTCCCAGCACACCTACCAGCCAGCCTGAAAAACAACCAAATTGACCCTGTCTAACAGTTTAGTTAAAAGTAGGAGGCAATTAAGTTCATAATGGGAGGCTCTAGAAATTTAGAGTTAGGACCACATTATATACAGAGGTCCCTTGGCATGGGCACTGCGGCGTACACATATATTTGCAAATGTGTGCAAACAAAACCCTCTGCTGTTAACATAAACTGTTAGAGCCGATTTGGTTGTTTTGCAGGCTGGCTGGTTAGTGTGCTGGGAAATACTTTGTTTGTGATGTGCGTTGCCCTTCCATGTGCACCCTGCTGCAAAGGCTAGTTATAGGCTGAGATGATTGCCACTTTTTTGCCCATTTAATATTTGACTTTTCTAATAGCCTGCTTTGTAGTAATCTCTGATCCCCCTGGTTCTCATCTAGGAAAGTCATTAGTCCTATGAAAATAGAAGAATAGTAACACTGGCCCTATATCTTTATCCAATTATGGTCAATATACTTAACATCAAAGATCTTTTACTAATTCTTGATATATATGGGGTTGGCTCTGCTCCAGGATAGTCTGACATATAGGATTGGGCCTACAGCATACTGAGATAGATCTCTTACATAATACCTAAATGCGGCTTTCATGTGGACTACCTTAGACCCCTGGATGTGTAGGTTTTACAGCGTGGGTCCTTTTGTTTCCAGCTGCTGCTGTTCTGATTGTGGATGGCCCCTTTGTCCACCCAGAAGACATATACATGCTCTTGTCATAACTCTTTTGTATTGTATTCATACTACACCATCTTGTCCTGAGGAAGCAGCCCTTTGGCCGTGAAATGGAAGATGGCATATATGCAAGAAGAGTGTGCAAAGTTAGTAGAGACATATCCCAACAGACTAAAGGCTGGAATTAAAGCAAAACGTGGTTCAACAAAATAGTGACACAATGGGGTGATCCCTTTTCCAACTCAGTGATTATGTTTTTCATTTGATAAAAAAAAAATCTGACATGTTGGTGTTATATCTTTCACTTCGATATTATAAGTTGCATTGAGTAAATACAGCCAGGAAAAAACAAAAAATGTGTCTGTCTTTATTTCAGGCTGCAAAGCAACAAAATTTGAATATTTTAAAGGAGGGTGATTCTTTTCTATACCCACTGTATTACTGCATCTTTCTACAATGTCCACCAATGAATAGGGGGAAAATACACTGACCGCCAATAACGGGCATTCTTCTACACTGACCAATGAAT